TCTCTCTCTCTCTCTCTTTGTTGTGTATTAAACTCCGTCCATATAGATTGTGTCTGTGTGAGAGGGTTGAGAAAAATGGATAGGACATTGCAAGAAAGAAAGAAAGAAATACATGTGTAAATGTTGTTATTATTACTGTTATTATTATTATTGTTGTTATTATTGCTTCTGTATTATCCTCTTTGCTTTATGATGAGGCTTGTTAGTATTGCTATGATGATGGTTATTATTATTATTATTGTTATTATTGTTATTGTTATTATTATTATTATTATTGTTTGATGTGTTTTTGTTCCTTTTGGTTGTATGTACATCCATACAGTATATATATATATATATATATATATATATATATGTGTGTACGTAGTGTGTATGCGTGCTCTGTGTTCTTTGGACGGTAGAAGAGAAAATTAATAAAAAGGAAAACAAAAAAAAAAAAGAGACAAGAAAAAGAATACACACACATACAGAGAGAGAGAGAAAAAGAGAGGAAAAAAAAGAATAATTGTGTTTTTTTTTTTTGTTTTTTCTTATTCTTATTGAACGCAATACAAACAGACAAAAAAGAAGGAAAAAAAAAAAAGGAAAAGGAAATCGTTAGACCTTTATACACTCTATTTAATTCAAATATAAATGTATACAGTCCAATAACAGGAACTAATCTGTATCTCATGTATTCTTTATATATATATATATATATATCTGTTTCTCTACTATTCTCTTTATGAACTCATTGTAGTTGTACAGAAGTGCAGGTAGAGGAAAGCAAAGACAATACAGGAACCAAATAGAGAGACCCAAACGACTGAACATAACATTATCATCAACAACACCAAGAAAGCAACAATAACAACAACAACTAAAAAAAAAGAAAAAGAAAGAAATAATAAAAAAGAAGAGATTGGGAGATTGTACATAGATGTTCTACACAGGCTGTAGTTACATGGGCGAGACTACGCCTGATGGTAAACGCTTTGACAATGAAGGCATTTACACCTTTGCCAACGGCGATACTTACGTGGGTGCCTTTAAGGATGGACGTATGCATGGACACGGCACCCTCTTCTTCACCGCAGCCCGCGGTGGAGGACAATACAGAGGCATCTGGGAGAATGGACGAAATGTCTCGGGATCCTTTGTATTTGCAGATGGTCTTGTCTACAATCGTAATGAAAATCCTCCTCCCACTACTACTACTACTACTGATAATACTACTACTGCAGATACGCCTACGAAAGCGGCTACTTCTGCGGTGGTGTCTGTGTTGACGCCCACGCCCCCTCCGGCAAAGTCCACTCCTGCCCGCAGTGTCAGTATCCACAGTCCTGTCCAGAATAAAAATAACAATAGTAATATTAACGACAGTAGTAAGAAAAAGAAGGACTCCATCGCCACTGGAGCCAAGAGTGTAGATGCAGAGACTCCATTTGTGGATAACAACACAGCATGGTTGTATTGCCGCGGCGGAGACCGTCGGTTGTGGGCCGAACATCTGCGGGAAGTGATGCCGGTGTTGCCACTGCAGGCCCTTCTCGCCGGAGAGCGGGGTGTATGGGGGAAAACAGAGAAGGAAAAGGAAGAAGAGGAAAAAGAAAAGAATGAAAAGAGTGAAAAGGAAGAAAAGAATGAAACTATGAAGGGAGGACCGGCTCGCTGGGCGGCGCAGTTGGTCGTGGCCCCATCGGTGGCCGCAGAGGCCCGCACACCCGCCACGTTTGCGGAAGGTCAACCACGCACACTCCGCGATATCCCGCATGAATACTGGCGAGATCCAAATACACGGGCCCGTGTAGTGGCCGCAGCGCAACTCCCAACACCGCCATTCCGCGGAGAAGAAACCCCAACAACAACAACAAATACAACAAATACAGATACAGCAGAGAGTACAGAGGGAACTGGAGTAGAAAGAACAGGTGCGGCGGTGGTGGGATATGGAGAGCGACCGGTGATGAACTTAACGCTGCGCATCATCAAACCTCTCAAGGCAGAGGCGGTAGTGGCAGCCATGGCAGCTATGCACATTGCAGAGAGTAAGAACACCCCCAACACAACCGAGCAGCAAGAGAGAAAGGAAGAGGCGAAGCCGAAGGAGGAAGTGGAAGTGGAAGAGGAGGATAGACAACAAATACCATCGGTGAAAAATGGTGAGGAAGTTGTGACTGAACGTGTTGGTTCTGAACAGGAGGCGGGATTTTCATCTTCTGCACTCAACATGATGTCCTTTGAAGTAGGCAGTTTTGAGGGTTCTACAATTGTTGAACACTCTGTGTACACCAGGTCTGGTCCTGTGCATGAACTCACACCTCCCCCAACACCCGCACCGCCTTCAGTACTTGAAAATGTAATGGAAAAGGCATCAACGGTGGGAGGGGATGACCCAATAGATTCACCGCTTGGGGATGAGGCCCAGTCACCAAAGGGAGAGGATAACGTTTAGGATTGATATGATATTTCTGCAGGGATGCAGAGCTTGCAAATTGAGTGTAAACGAGGAAAAAGAAAAAGGGGGGATGGACATTGATAGAAGAAAAAAAGAGTTTACGCTCTTCTTTTTTTTTTCTCTTTATCTTTCTCTGTCGCACTCTCTATTTCTTTCTTTCTCACACACACGTTTATATATATATGGAAGAGAAGATGTGAGTGGATGTGTGGTCTTCACACGCATTTTGAGACAAAAAATTATGCGAATGTACATGAATTACTGTTTGAGCCTCGGGATATGTATCTAGACGATGGATGGATACAATAAAAAGAGGACAACACGAAATGAGGCAATGACTGCCCTTCTTTTTTTTTTCTTTCTTGTTTTATTTGTTATTCCTTTGGAATTGATCTTTTTTTTTTTTGTGTATGTGCGTATGTATATTATTGTGTATTTCGTCTCTTTTTTTCCCCTTTAATACCTTGTTCTCTATGATATATTTTTTTTTCTTCCTATGAACAGAAGGGAGACAAAAGGGCCTGTCTCTCTGAGTGTGTGTGTGTGTGAGAGAGAGAGAGAGAGTGAGTGTTTATTTCTTTGAGGAAGTAAAATACCAGCACAGACCAGACAAAAGGAAGGAAAAAGGAATTGTTTGAAAGATATGAGACACCAAGAGGAAAAACGAGAGAGAAGCAACTCCACCGTATCGCCCGTGTTCTCTAATGGAAAAGGGTACACACATCTCCACTCACTGCAAGAGACTTCGATGAACTTGAGACCATTGACTGGAACAGAAGGGATTCGACCATCGGCGTCCCCATTACAGAGTACCCAGAAACACACGGTAAGGAGTCAAAGCAATAGTAATAAAAAAAATAAAAAAACTGAGATGTTAAAGTCATTCTTTTCTCCTTTATCGCAAGAGAGATTGATGGGGTTTAACTACATGGAACTTCACCCACAGTTACGGTTCATCGCTGCACCTACAAAGTTAGTCCCATTTCAGCAGTTTTCTATTGTTTTAGAAATTACAGATGTGTTGGGGGGCACATTGAGTGCATTACGATTGATTGAAGGGATACGGTCACGGCAACAGGAAAAGTACACTATTTTACCAGAGGAACTTCGTGATGGTTTTCCACTTCCACCCGTTGATTTGGTATTGACAACAGAGTTATGTAATTACGGTATGCAGAGTGATGAATACCTAATGGATACGAATCTCAATAACAGAGATAGTCATTTTGAAACGGTTCCTTTGATTATTAAGTGTCCATCACCGTTTTCCAATATGCGGTATAGTGATGGTGGTTCTCTCTCTAGCGCTATAACAGCCCACACCTTGGCACCACCCTTAAGTACAATCTCAGGGATTCTTTCAGATCCTCATATGGATGGACTCGCCATTTCACGTATTTCTAATAGTATTAACATGCAAACAGAATGGGATGCATTCGCATTATCTGAACCGTGTATTGCGGCGTACCCACCACAATCCACACAATGCGGTGTGCAGTTCCGTGTTTGTTGTCAAACCCGTACTGTAGTTGCACTCCTTTACACTTCATCTCGTTATGGTGGTTCCTTCCCTATAGAGAACAGTAGCAGCAGTAGTAGTAGTAGTAATGGTTCTAGTAGTACTATTAGTAGTAGTAATGATAGTGATGATGATGATGATAATAATAATAACTATAACGATGACAGGAATACCCCAAGTTTAGTTTTCCCGTACGCTCTTCATATTGATCCTGATCCTGATAGTGAATTCATCACTGTTCGACTTCGCGAGTGTGGTCGCACTATCGCTAGACGCCTCGCCCAACCCGGTGATATTTTTGCATTACGTCTACTTCCCGATGGTCGATGTTTATATTTACATAACGGACATGTGTGTTATCGTTCCTCTTTTCGAAGTGATGAAGCGACGGTATATCGTGTATTACTGCGGGTTGCATATCAGGAAACGATTCCCGCCGTAGATGCTTTTGTACTTTTGCCGTCTGTTGCCGGACTGCCCCGACTGGAAGTGAGTTCATTGTTGTGTAAACCACCTTGGCCAAAGGAATTATCATGTATAGAAAGAGGATCAGGCTGTACATGCTTAACAGCAACGAAAAGGGAAATAATAACTGAGGCGCAAGAGGAAGAAGAGGTTATTTTACGTGCGTGGCTGCGTGGATATCCTGTTGGTACTGCACTACATACTATTATAGATACTACTAGTACAGTTTCTGGTAATGTGTCTTTTCCAACGTGGGCAATTGCGGCATTTTCACTTCTCTCATCTTTTGCACTTGGAGCTGTTGGTTGTTGTAATGATGATGATATTACAGCAAAGTTGCGGGAATTCCACCGCCGTGCCCCAATATTCTTACAGCAACAGAATTTCCCAAAGTATCCCCTTATATATGGTAAGTAAGATCCTATAAAGAAGGTGATGAAGGTGTTTTAATTCTTTTTTTTTATTATTATTATTACTTTATTATTGGTTTAGTTTTTATCGTTTATTATATCATATTGGTTATTTCTTTCTTTATCGTAGTGACATTTTTATTTTATTTTATTTCTATCATTTTCACTATCACTCTCTCCTATCTATTGTTATCGACCAAACCAGAGTAAAGGGAGGATAGACTAATCTTCTATACTCAGTGAATTTATACTGAATGAGAGTGAAAAGGTGTGGAATTGTAATCCTTCTCCAAAGTAAATGTTGTTGTTATTTTCTGTGAAATGATAACTATGAGATGTTATTTTCTTTGGCTTACCGTTTTTTCCCCCTCCATCTCTTTCTCTTTCTCTCTTTATCATAATATATATATAAAGTTAAATAGACCACAGGTAATTATTATTATTATTATTATTATTATTATTATTATTATTATTATTATTTTTTTTTTTTTTTTTTTTTTTTTTTTTTTTCTCTCTCTCTCTCTCAGTGGGTGTGTGTTTAAGTGATTTTCCTTTACACCCTTTAGTCGCCACGGTAAGGCGCAATAACCGATTGTATAAATATATTTTTATATAATTATTTATTTATCTATTTATATCTAATAATGGCGTGTATATCACAGTCTATTGCGCAGTATCCATTATTACGCTGCATTATCGCTGCTGCGCAGTTCGCCCGCGGGGAGTTGTGTTTCTACGAGACCTACGCTGAACTCACGGCGTGTGATGTTGCGGGGGCGAGCACGACACCGTTGCGAATTGACTACGACGCCCTCCTCCACTTCCGTGTGGTTCGCCAGCAACAACTCATGCGGATTGAATTGCCGTCGTGGATTGTCCGTCGCTGGGCGGAGGCGAACGGCTTCGCGGCGGAGTTGGAGGGCGGCGGGTGTTCGCTGCGGGAAAGGGAGGCGGAGGCGCCGTGTGCGTTACTGCAGCAACTGCGGCCGGCCGACATGTCGCACTTCTTGCGCTGCGTGGCGCCTCTCGTGGCGGCGAGTCGCCGGGGCCGATCGGCATCGCGTGTGAGTGTGACGGAGCCGCTGCCGCTCACTTATTACCCGCCGAGTCCAGAGGCGAATGGGGCCGTGGAGGAGAACAGCAATGAGCATCCGGATGAGGACAGTGAGAGGGATAGTGAGCAGCATCCCTCCTGTTCCTATCATAGTAGTAGTAGTAGTAGTAGTAGTAGTAGTAGTAGTAATAATAATACACAGAGGATAGAAGAAGAAGAAGAAGAAGAAGAAGAGGATACCGCAGTTTCACCATTGAATGGATCGAGTACATCACAACATGGAATAAGAAGAAGAGGAAAAGCAAAGAGAACTCAGGATACGGGAACGATGGATCATCATCACACCGCAACCTCAACTACAACTACAGTTGACGTAAATAAGAACAAGAAGAAGGATAGTAATGACCATGAAGAGAGACAAGAATATGAAGAAGGAGGAAAAGAAGAAGAAGAACAGAAAGAAGACGATCGTCTTTCTCACTGTTTGGAACTTCTAGGAGCCACTGTAGAGTCCCCAGGCATGCACTTGGTTCGTGCACAAACCACTCAAGAGAGTGCCTTACTAGCATACGTCTCTGCACAGAAGAAACATGGAGTTTGTACGACTATTGCGAGTAGTGAGGCGGCGGCGTCTAGTGCTTTACTATTGGGAGATATTGTCCGATCCAGACGTGCAAACAACAACACCGCTACTACTAATACTACTAATACTAATACTGCTGCTGCTGGTGCTGTTGTTCGTAAGCGGCCGCCGCATATCAGCAGTGAGGCGATGGAATTGGAACCACCAAAGCGTGTAAAGAACGACATGATACCATTAGCACCACAACCGCAACCACAACGACAAGAAGAAGAACAACAACAAAAAGAAAAAAAGAAGGAAAAAGAACAAGAGGAAGAAGCTGCCAAGTCCTTATTATCATCCTTGTCATCCCACACAGATGACTCCCATGGTGACGCTGCAGAAGCAGCAAGAGTAACCACCCCCAAACCAACAACAGGAAGAGGAAGAAGAGGAAGAGGAAGAGGAATAACAGTTGCAGAGAAAAATAAAAATGCTAATGCCACAACTCTGCAAGAGAAGAAGCCTCATACCGGGGCAGCATACAACTTTGCGGATATCACAACAGCACCGGAGGCGGCAGCACATCTCCCCATCACACCAGAGGCCGCTACAAAGATACTCGTGGAACTAAACAATATGTTACCCGCCATGCAGCGACGCACACGACGTCCACCTGCAAAGAAGTCCACAACAACACAACGGAATAATACACACGGGAAGGAGAAGGAGAAGAAGAAGAAACGTGGAAAGACAACAACTAAAGAAATGGCAAATAATAATGATAAGGATGATGAGGAGGAGAAGTCGCATGTAAACATAACAGCAACTGTGGGGATGGCGGAAAGCGTCTCAGCACCTCCAGCACCTCCACTACAGCAATTGCAACAAGAAGAAGAACAACTGAAAGCAAAAGATGAACGTACACCTGTACTTCCTTCAGCTCCTCCATCTGCTGCTACTGCTACTGTTCTTTTGAATGCGTCTACTTCACTCACAACCCCTTTATTGGACACACGGCCATTTTATCAATCCCGCCAAGAGGCACTCCAACAGGAGGCCACATCATCATCATCACAGTGTATACAGAAACCGCATCATCGCGTAAGGAATTCTTCCTCTCACCATTGTAAAGATAAACAAGAGATGAAGTCCTCCCCACATGCTGCAGGAGAAAAACAAACTGTCATGACCACAGAAATGACGACACCTAAAATGCAGCAACCATTCATATCAGATCCAAATATAAAACTAACATCTCTGCCAACATCATTACGAGCTAATACCCCACTCACTTTTCTTCCAGATGCTTCTGTTGCTAATGCTGCTGCTGCTGGTGGTGGTGGTATTGGAACAGAGTCTCCTGATCCTGGTTGTTGTGATCAATGCGGTTCCAAATACAACCACAATGCCTTTTTCTACGCAGCAGCAGCAGCAGCAGCAACAACAGCCGCAATGGCAGGAGGTGGAGGAAGTGAACTTCGCACAAATCGTTGGAGACGTGTAGTGCGTGAACTAGACAGTCTCACAGTACACCTCACACGAGCAAGAACTTGCGGAGAGGAATTAAGGGGATTATTTCTACTCATGCTGGAGGATGCGGAGGTGTAAAGGTTGATCCTATAAGCTACAGATATATATATAATAATTTTTTCTTTTTTTGAATATACATAGACGTACAGATAAAGGGAAAATTAAGGTTTCTTTCTAATGCTAACAGAGTTTTCTTTTTTTTTAATTTTAATTTGTTCACATTATTTATTATTTTTTTTTTTTCTACACATACGGACAAGAGATGCCGTATGAGAGAAAAGTAATACAACTATAGTGCCAGTTTGTAGAGTGAAGAGAGCGATAAGATTTATGACGAGTGGGAGGGGGGGAGTAACGGGAGTGTGTTGGGGTGTAAAAATAATAAAAAAAAAAAAAGGAGGACATCAAGTAGATGTATACAATCACACTCACACAAGAAGAGAAGGAATCTAAACTACACAGATACAGAAAGAAAAAAAAAAAGAAAAAAGAATGAAATTAACAAAAAAACAAAGAGAAGTATAAAAGTGTTTATGGACGGAGTGATATTTAAATGTGAATGTATTACTGGAAAGACTATGTTCTTTTTCTTTCTCTCTATTTCTCTCCCTCTCTCTTTATACCTATCTTGGTTTTCTTTGACATTTTTTTTCTAACCCTTTACTGGATTAGAAAGAGTATATATATATATATATATATATACAACGCAACGCAGATAAAGAAAAAAAAAAAAAAAATACATCTGGGCTTCTATTAATATAGTAGTAATTATCCAAAGTAAATATACTTGCACACAGCAGAAGATCTATGCAAGATTTACGTCGTCAACGGCGGTTTATTCCGCAGGTGCGCAAACGTACCACACGACGATCAATACGTAGTTTATTGTTCATTATTCTTCTTCTATTGACATTGGGAGTTCTCATTGTATCCTTTATATTCAGTACAGATTTTGATCCCTTTTGGGATCGCTATAATGATATTCAAAGCAAAGATGGATTAACAACGACCACACATAATAATAAATATAATTTTACTCGTTTGAGTTTTCACATGAATGAGGCGATGGCCACTGCCTGGCGTACTTCTAGTGAGAGACTTATGTTTGAGACGGAAATAACAGTGGAGCATCTTACTAAACCAGAGACACATGAGGAACGGCGTGGAATGACATCTCAGACCTCAAAAGTAACAGCCACTTTATATGGAAAGAGTTCATTAAAGTTAAAACATACCAAACGACGATCATTACATATTCGTAGTGAGGCACCCATTCAATTTATCTCTTCAAAGACTCTACCATCATCATTATTATCATCATCATCATCATCATTAAATGGCGAAAAGAGTGGGGAGGGTGTTGGTGTTGGATTTTTTGAAAATGAGGGAGAAATATCACTAAATGATTTTTTACTTCTTTCTTTATGGGAAGATACACATCGGATTGCATACCGTACTTCTGTAGATTTGTTAAAACGTTTTGATCTTTTCTTACCGTATGCGCAGTTAGTTGAGTTGTGTTGTTATCCATCCACACGGAATCCATCACCAGATCATCCCTGTGCACCTTCCCCAACAGATCACTCCTCTATAAAGAATCCACAACAAGAGGGACGAACACTTGGTGTATATCTTCTGTTGGAGTTTCCTTCAAGGGCTATATGGAGACGAATGTCTAGTGTATTTAACGCATTTGAAAAGGAATTAAAAACATCCATAAATGAAACTTTAGGAATTAAAAAGAATCATCCTCATTATAATAATAGTCTTCATACACTCCCTCCTGCGTTAAGACGACGTTTGTATGAAACAGAGATGGAACATGCAGCCCGTCTTCATCATTGGCAAAATATGTGGAATAGGACGAAATTATTTTATAATGGTGATGTGGAGATGGCAGTTCAATTGGCATCACGTAACTTTATGAGTTTCCGAGAACCACGACATGATTTATCACATGTGCCTAGTTATAAAAAGAATAGTACTATCTTACCAAGTTATAGACTTGTGGAGAAAAATCCATTAAAGTATGGTTTACTAACAGAGGCAACTTCAACATCACAGTCTTTTCTGGATCTCCCGCAGTATATGTCTTGGCTTGCGATCAATACAATATTACGTAATGGTGATTATGATGATGAGGCATTTTTTTACGGTGTATTACAACCAACATCACTTTCACTCTCTGGAGAAGAAATGAAATCCCATGATATTAAACTTCCCATACATCTTGGTGTAATGGGTTGGGATTATGATAATATCTTTGCCCCTTGTCATCGTAAAGTGTGGTTTCAAACCCCACTCATGTATTGTGCAGAAACCACACTCGATCACAATATCCTGCGAACTCCAATATTACAGAAACGGTATGTAGAGATACTACAATATATGTTACATTATATAGATAAGGTGAAGTTTCGCCGTTCTGTAGATGTAGCGAATAATGAATTACTTTCTATACTTCATGGATCTCCAGGGGCATTGCGAGCAACTTTTGATACGGAAAAACGGGATGAAAATGTGGGTTTGCGATGGATTATGAATGGTTTTTTGGATCAGCGAGGAGTTTTACTTCGTGCTTTGGCAGAACATTTTTCTACAAAAGAAATAAAACAAAATATACAATTGAAAGGTGAGGGAAATGAAAGAGATACTATTATATCCTTAACAGTGGATGGAGTATTGAGTGATCAGAATACAGAGATGCGACGTGAACTACTAGGCCAACTCTCGAAAGCCGTTAAAGTGAGAACATCTCAAATAAATACCCGAAATGGTATTGTCATTAAAGGAGGACAACATGCACTGGGAGAGAAACTTCAGGAAACGGAAGGGACATATCATTTTCATCTTTCTGGTATATATTGTGTACGAGTAGAAGTTCCACAATCATTTCTTCTTGTTGGGAAATTACTTCCTAATCTCGCAATGCAGTTAGATCAAAAGAAGCTTCATTCCCTTCTTGTGGATATGCCATTAGTGGAACCCAGTTCATTAAGAGGTGGGGCGGAATATGGGTTATGGACTTTCAACAAACCTTATCCTATGAATTATCTAACTTCAACTTGTGAGAATAACTCTATACTTAAAATATTTATGCCATCTGTTTGGCCACAAGAAACAAATGAAAGACGTGGTGTTTTTATTGTACGTTTTCTTCGTACTGTAGAGGATACAACAAAAGGGAATGAATCATTTATTTGGGTGAGGAAGAATATTCCTCTTGCATCTTCTGATGCTCCATTATTAAAGACAATGATTATTCGTGGATTTAGTGCTGTTCGTGTGGTTCATAAACCGGAATTTACTAATTTAGACATCCCATCAGTTTATGTGGCTCATGATAAGGAAAATACCTTAACAGGACCATTACTCTTTGTAAACAGTAATACTACTAGTAGTATGAAGAATAATAGTATTAATAATGAAAGAAATAGCATTACTACTTTTCCTGATCTTATTATTCCTGGAACATCTACTCGCTATTCTCTCTCTGAAAGATCTCTACCAACTGCACCCCCATCACCTCCATCCACCTCCAGTGGCCTTATGGATGTACATGGGACTATCTTTGGTAATCATCTCGAATCTGGACACACACTCATTTGCACCAATATTACTAATAATAGTAATAATAATAATAATAATAATAATAATAATAATAATAATGCTGCAGACCCCAAAGTACACATTGCCCAGTGTCCTATCTTTATTCGTGATGGGTATTATTTACACGAAGGGGCCACACTTGAAGTGGACCCCGGTTGTGTTGTGGTTTTACTCCCCGCAGCCCTCCTGCATGTGGAGGGAGGAACACTGCGATTTAACGGTACAATGAATACACCGGTGGTAGTAACAAGCGAAGCGGTACGTGATGGCAGTTATTGGCGGACAATTCACTTAAATGGTCCCACTGCTCAACTGCACGCACATTTCACTTTTTTCACAGGATCTGGAATCCGTGGAGTGCGTGTAGCGGGTACAGGTAAACATCACACCCACTCTGCTGCAATAACGGCAACGAATGAAGCCCTCATCTCTCTTCATCATACATTTATGTTAGAGTTAAGAGGAGCTGCCATCGCAGCTGGTAAAGGTGCTATTGTGCGTGTGATGGATTCACTGGTGCAGTGGGCACAATTAGGTATTGAATGTGTACAGTGCACCTTCACTACACAGCGCTCCGTGTGGACACACTTTCCTAGTTGGGATGTGGTTTACAATGATAATGATAATGATGCCATGTACTTATCCGGTGGTGAGCACCGTGTAGTAGATACTGTTATTGCTCATACTAAAGATGATGGAATTGATTCTGGTGCGGTTCCATTCCGTGGTGCTCGCACTGGTAGCGATGGGAAAGAAAAGAATAATGGTGGTTCTTTGATTGTTCACAATACTATTATTGAAGGATGTATGCATGAGGGTGTGGCACTCTCTACGGAGCCAAGTATGTATCGTGAGGTGGTGATTTCTCATACCATTATTCAGTACTGTCAACAGGGTGTTGAATTGGGATATACATCTGAAAAACATACGGGTTTTCTTACATCTTCACTTATTCAACACTCTGCTGTTGGAGTGCGTTTTGGGGATAACTATCATTGGTCACATTGTGATGGTAAGTTATTAGTGATTAACACGACCCTTGCCTATAATGAAATTAATGCATTAAATTATGAAAGAGGTAAAGGAGCACCTAAAGGAGTTGATCACTTTTATACTTCTACAACTTTACCAACACAAGAATGGGAACTTCTGCAAGAGACTGCTAAGAATTCAGCTCTTCCTTTAACAATAACACCATCAGGCTTGGTATTCATGCTTCCAGATGTACGAACAAATGCCACTTTAGCAAATGATGGGTCACAAAAAAACAGTTTGGGTATTATGGGATGCGGTGATGTCTTTTCATTGCCTGGTAATAATGGCAGATTAATGAGAGGAGCTGATGTTTCTCTCGTGCCTCTGGCAGAGGAGAATTTTGTAGTGAATGTCACTGTATATTTGTAGTGAGATCTATTAAATCGTGCTTTCCATATATATATATATATGACGAAATAAATACCTTTGCAAATAATTGGCACATTTATATTATCTCTGAATCCTGAGGTTTGTACATTTGTATAAGTTTTTTTTTTTTTTTCTTCTATTCTTTTTCATTGAAGTATTACACGTTTTTTTCTTCTTTTTTTTTAGGGAATGAGAGAGCTTCTGATATTTTCTCTCTCTTTTAGTGTAAACAAATCATCTCACCTGTAATTATTTTATCCTTTTTCTTTTCTTTTCTTTCTCTCTCCATCTCTCTCTTTATCTATTTATCTATCTCTCTCTTTATCAACCTCGTAGATGCTGCTATCCATCCCGTCCGCGCACACGGAGGTGATCACGTCGCTGCAGTTCTCACCACACCACAGCACTGTCTTCTGCTCAACGTCTGGTGATGACACCGCCGCACTGTGGGATCTGCGCCAATCTTCACAAGGCCATGAAGTGGCACGACTCGTACACCATCAGGGGCCAGTCAATCACGCCTTATTTCTCCACGATGATGATCGTCTGTTGTTAACAGCCTCTGATGATCGCACAGTGGCGTGCTGGGATGTGCGTGCCTTGAGTGCACCCGTTGGGGGAATTCAAGGATTTGGCGATGGGATTAACAAAATGTTGCGTATTCCCGCACCTGTGGGAAGTGAGAATAGCAACAGGAGTAATTGTTTGGTGGCAAGTGCCTGTGATGATGGCATGGTATACATCCACTCACTGATGCCAGATACTACTGGTGTGAGTGCGACAATGGTAGACCGTTTCTGGGCAGCCACAAGCACAGTAAATGATATTGTGCTTTCCCCAAATCCTAGAATGCTCATCACAGCTTCTGAAGACTGTGCGGTACGAGTATGGAATATCATTGGAGACCCATCGGCAACAACAGACGACCGACTTGTTACTTCCTTTGAGGAATTTGACAATCCAGTCAATCACATTGCTGTAATGTGCTATACAGACGCTGAAGAGCAAGAACAACAACAACAATCTGAAGATTGTCTCACTTCTACAACAACTACTTCTTCTTCCTGTTGGCTTTACGCCGCTTGTTCTGAATTTATTTTTGCTGTAGATATGGATCCAACATCTGGTACCTTCGGTGATGGTGCACGCACCTTCACTGGTCATCAAGACTATGTTCGTGGGTTGGAATTTCTTAACCGCAATACACTTCTAACAGTCTCTGATGATGCCACTGGAGTGGAGTGGTCCCTCACTACAGCAGATCCCATTCGACAGGTGAAACTGCATGAGGGACTTGTAATGGCCTCCGCTACATCTGCAGCGAAGGATGTGTTATTGACAGGAACAGACGGCGGAGAACTACGGGCGTGGCATTTACCATTTAATACAGAGACATGCTGTGGTGGAATTAATTGTTGTTAAAAAGATTATGGACTGGTGATGGTGACATTGATGATGATGATTATGATTATGATGATGGCGAAAACATATGTCATTAAGAATAGTTGGAAAATGGTTTCAACAGCGTCTTAACAAAAGAAGTAAGAATGAACAATCGCACATGGATTCAGAGTGAGGTCAAGGTAAAAAAATATACATACATACATACATGTTCGCAAATAAACAAGAAACATCATCAGCAATTCAAGAAAATTGAGATGCAAACGCCAATCTAAAGAGGCGTGAGGTCTCTAAGAAGTAGGGTTAAAAACCCATATGATGAGATTATTATGAAGAGTTAGTCACCACCTCAGTTCTGTATCCTAATGGTGTAGCTGGAGAGAAGAAAAGAAAAAAAAAAAAGAAACGAAAAAAAAAAAAAAACTGTGCTTATGTGCTTGTGTGTGTTGTCTGCGTGGGGAAGGAGAGAGAGAAAGAGAGAGAGAGAGAAAGAGAAAGTATGCGCAGGCGTGATAGACGTAAGCATGTCCCTAATCTTTTGATTTGAGAAGGAATATAATATATCTGTTGTTTTTCGTATGTTTTTCTTTTTCTTTTTTTTTTTGTGCTTCTGTTGGGTTGCTTGTTTTCTTAGATGTTTCTTTTTCGAATATATGCTTATCTCTCTCTCTTTTTCTTTTTCTTTTTTCCTGTTTTTTTTTTTTTTTTTTTTTGTAAGACAGAAAAGGAAAAAATCCCACTTATGTATAGAATTCTATACTGAGGAGAGAGAGGAGTGGGAAGAGAAAAAAAAAAAAAAAAATCAATCAGAGATGAGAAAGAAAGAATGAAAGAGATTTCACTATTCTCTCTTCTTTTTAGTATGGGAGACAACGAGGTTGAGGTCTCGTGGGGATGTAGCTCAGATGGTAGAGCGCCCGCTTAGCATGCGGGAGGTATTGGGATCGATACCCAACTTCTCCATTTTCTCTTCTTCTTGGTTTTGGTCCCCCTTTCCCAATTATTATGGACCATTGATAAATTTAATTCTTCTCGTAAGTGAATCTATATATATATATATATTTTTTTTTTTTTCAAGCACACATATCGTGTCCCTTATTTTGAAATAGGGCAAATACTACTGAATATATTTGTAATGATAATGGAAATGGGGGTAATATATGTATACGATTCATTGTTTTTTTTTTTTTTTTGTTATTCATTGAGTGTATATGGGGGGATTTCTCTATATTCTCTTGTTACCGTGTAAAGTGAAAAAATAATTTTTTTTTTTTTTTCTTTGTTCTTCCATATTTCTCTCTCCTTTCTACATAAGTAGGTGGGGGAGGAAAAAAAAAACAACAACAACAAGAGAGTGCTTTTCTATTATTGAGTGTGTCTGTGTATATGTGTTTATTTCTTATTATTTTTTTTTTTTTATTCTTTATTTATAAATCTATCTCTTTGCTAAAAAAAAAAAAGGGGGGGTGTAGTTGACGATAATTTATTACATCATGTGGCAGTTCCGAAATTGTCTACGGCGTGTTGTGGTTTCCTGTAGCTGTGCCACAACTGTTGGTAGTGATAGTGTAGTCGTTTCCCTTCGATGGCAGTCGCAGAGTTCACGCGGTCAACCTGGTCTCCATTGGCAGGAAGGTGTAGTAGATCCACGATACTCTTCAGAAGGAAATATGCGGAAGTTTAACCCAGATACGGTGGCACATTACGTTAAGGCAACTATTCAAAATGATAGACGAGAGATGGGACTTGGTGAGATTTATGATTGGCATGAATTTGCAAAGGATGCGGTGTATATTCCAACACGATCTGGTCCATTATGGGTTGGAAGTGATGATCCACGATGTGCAAAGTTTATGAGACGAAAAGAAAAAATGAAAAAGACACCTCAACAGAAAGCACGACCCAAACCAGGACCAGATGCGGCTAAAGAATTAGAAGATCATCCATTACGTGAATACTTTACAACACCATCAAATTTACGAGATCCATTAAGTACAGCTAATAATTTACATCGTGCAGGACTTATTCGTGAATATGATATTAAACATACAGCTGCAAAGATTTCATACCTACCACGTCCACCGATTGTTTCTATTATGGGACATGTTGATCATGGTAAAACCACTCTCTTGGATTGTCTACGAAAAACAAATGTTGCCTCTCAGGAAGCTGGTGGTATCACTCAAAATGTTGGTGCCTTTCAAGTTAAAACTCCTGATGGAAGTTTAATAACATTTATTGATACACCAGGTCATGCCGCCTTTACAGCAATGCGAGAAGTTGGAGTGGCGGCGAATGATCTTATCGTTCTTGTTGTATCAGCAGTGGATGGTGTACAACCACAAACAAAAGAAGTGATTGAACTCGCTCGAAATGCTGGTATTCCACTCGTTGTAGCTTGTACAAAAATTGATCGTCAACCAAGAGTAGAACCTATTAAAGAACAATTACGTAATTGTAATGTGGAGTTAGAAGAAGATGGAGGTGATACCCAATTTGTTAAAGTATGTGCAAGAGATGGAACAGGTATTCCTGAAATCCTTGAAGCTATTGCCTTACAAGCAGAATTATGTGAAATTAGTACCCCAGAACCCTCACGATGTGAAGTGGTTGCCATTGAAGCCCGTGGTGGTGCAAGTGCTACGAATGAAGTTACTGGTATTGTTCGCTGTGGTAAACTCCGACCTGGACAGGTGTTAGTCTCTGGAATGACGTACGCTATTGTGAGAAAAGTCTTTGATGAGACTGGTAAGATGTTACAAGAGGCTGGTCCATCCACTCCGGTGGTTTTACATGGATTTCGTGTTCATCCTAAACCAGGTGCTATTCTTATGCAAGTAAGTAGTGAATCACATGCACAGAAATTTTATTTTTTTATGAAAGATGTTTATAAAACGGAAGGACGTCGTGAAGATTACTTACAATTATTAAATCAAGAACAACAAGGAATGATTTATGCTCGTAAACCAGATAATAATTTGGTTCGTACGTATAGCACAAAAGCTTTTGTACTTTCATGTAAGGCGGCAACTTTTGGTATGTTACAAGCTCTTATGAAGATGTTATATGAATTACCAAGATTAGAAGGCATTTCAACAGAAATTAAAGTTACAGAAGTAGGAGGTTTAAAAGATTATGATATTGCACTTATAGGAAGTTCTGGACAACCAGGATGTATTTTATTATACGGTGAAAGTAAAGATACAAATACCCTGGATGTACCAAATCATGTGAAGGTCATTCGTTTTAACGTTTTATACCATGGAATTGAAGAGTTTAAAGAAACTTTAGTGGAGGCATTACCCAAAATAACGAAAACACGAATAACAGCAGAAGCAGAATGTCTACAAGTATTTCGTGCATCTCAAGCTGGAAAAAATGGAAATGCTGCTGGGATGCGTGTAACGAAAGGTACTATTATAGGATCACATCTTACATTCCGCGTTATACGTAAATCTACACGAAGTAAAAGTTCATTATTGGGAAATACGAATAACAGCAGTGGTAGTGGTAATAGTAATAGTAGTACTCACAAGAATGAAAATAATAATAATAATAATAATAATAATAATAATAATAATAATAATAATAATAATAAGAATAATAATAATAATAAGAATATCAAAGGAGATCCAGATGAGGATGAATTTGATGTTGTATATGAAGGTCAAATTAAGGAGTTGCGTCGATTTAAAGAAATTGTACCAACGATTGAGATGGGATTGGAGTGTGGTGTTATTCTTCATGATGAATTTCAATTCCGTACAGGAGATATTCTTCAACAGTATGAAACTTATGAAGAACCTCGTGATGTAAGTGAAGAGTATGAGAAGGCTGAACGTCGGGAGAAGATTATGCGAGATACCGCTGCAGCGCAGGCTCAAATGGAGGAAGAGAATAATAATAAAGCGGAGGTTGTGGATAGTCAAGTTTGACAGTGAAGGTGAGAGGCAAGACCAACAAGAACAAAAGTTGCTAATAAATAATGAATATATATATATATATATATATATATATTTGGGGTAACAAAGAGGAATTATTATTTTCTTGTTACTTTATTATTATTATTATGATGGAGTGTTTCCTTTATTTCATTGATATGCGTATATCTATATATCTATATATTTGTGGGTATACCTAAGTTTATGATTATCACAGAGCGAAAACCATTGCGAGTGCGTAAAGGGTAGGGAAAAGGAGTGCCACTCACAAGTAGACGGGAGTGGATGTGTGGGGCGAATTCTGTGTGAAGAGAGGTGAGACACACAGAGAGAAAGAGAAAGAGAAAGAGAAAAAGAGAGAGAGAATGAAAATAGCTGAGGTTAAATCGAGACTCGCAAAAAGAGGGAAACGTGCAGTAAACATTTAAAATATATATATATATATATATATATATAAATATGTATGTGTATTTATCTATATATTTATTTATATACTTGTATAATCATCTGTTTGTAAATGTCTCTTTTTTCTTTTCTTTTCTTTTCTTTTATTTTTTATTTATCTTGATCTGGGGGAAAAAACAATAGCAAGATCTATTTCGATGTTTCGTCGTTTTAGTATCTCTAGTTACCCTCTTGTATGGCCACTCCTCTTTAGTGGACGAGGACGGCAACAACAAACAGGGCAGAAACAACAACAACAACAGCAAAGAGAAGAGAAAGAAGAAAAAGAAGAAGAACGGTCATCTCAAAAGATACTACCATTCTCTTTACGACTATCATCTTGGGATAGTAAAAGGCCAACAACAACAACAATAACAACAACATCACTCTTTACATCAGTTCGGTATTTTTCATCACCCACTTTGCAGAAGGAAGGGGGTGGTGAGGATGAAAAGAAATTAGAAACTCCAAGTATGAAGAAGGAAGAGTTTACAAATTTATTTAATTCACGTTCTGTTGCTGAGAGAGCGGCGGCAATGAAAATGGCCCAAAATCACCTTCATAATGCTCTCATGTTAAAAGAATTTATTGAACAAATGCCAAAAGTAAGTCGTGATGATATTTTTCAACGAGGTATTCGTGTAGAAGAGTGGGTGCAAGACTCTCTATTACTACGACTTGTGGAGGATTCAAATGGTCTCTGTAGTGTAAGACTTTCTGTAGATGCGGAATATTTTCTGGGAGAGGAAGTAGGTTCAATAAAAGAGCAGAGAAAAAAGAAAAATGGAGGAAATAAAGAAGAAGAAAAAGAAGAAAAAAAAGAAGTAAAATCATCCTTATCTAATGAGAAGGAAGTAGTAGATATAACTACTATTGGTAATGTTGAACAACTTCTTCATATTCTTCATTATGATGTTCTTGGAGAACGGAGACCAGGTGAAAGCAATTACAGAGCATTAAATGAGGCTTATCCTTCTTTAGTGCGAGAAGCCTCAAGAAACCCTATACTACGAGATATTGTGAATAAGTTAAAATATTCTGAATTTCTTGATATTCTTAATACTCCTCTTGGATTAGAAACATTTTGGGTATTAAATGAAAAATATATTTGTAGTCGAATCCCTGATGAGACTCAACCACCACGATTTGTTTCTCCACAACCAAAGGCAACAGTTGCGAATCCAATGAATGCTTTTGGTGGTTGGGGAGCTGCATCTAATGTTCCTACTCGTCAAGATGTGTATGAAATATTAAAATATGTTCCAATGAATTGGGGTAATTTTGGTAATATAAATATACCAGCAGCGATAAAGAAGAAACATATTCGAATCGCTTCTACATTACAATGGTTTCGTCGACAACCTTTTTATTTTGAACTTCGTAATATTGCAGGAACTATAGAAATTCGACGTAGTGTTTTATTACATCCAGAACATCATGGTCTTTCTCCAGAAGAAGCTCATGAACAATTACAACTTCAAATAGCCAAAGGTGAGGCAAATAGTTTAGCTCCTATGAATGCTGAAGGTGAATTGGTAACAGTATCAGATACCTCACAACATACTGTAACTATTTTAAAATTTATTACACGTGTTTGTCCAGGATATTTTGTTCCACCTTCACTTCTTTTACAACGATATACGAAAAAAAATTTAACTCAAGGAGAATTAATTGCATGTGCTAGAGGACGTCCAGATCAATTTGAAGAGTTACAAATAAAATATACAGATACTCCTTTATTACGAAAACGTATAGGTGCTGATAGTTCAAGATGGAAAGATAGTTTTATTGAAGATTTTGAACGTTATCCAGAAGATGTTCGTGGTTTAATAATTATTATGGGACGTTTATGTTCTACTTGGGATAGACCACATTATGTTTATGTTAGACTTTCAGAAGAGGAAAAAGTTCTCGTAGGAGGTTTTGATGGTATGATGCAAATCATTAAACGACATCCACAAGTTTTTCGTATAGGTGAAAATTTTATTGCTCGTGTAGATCTTTCAGATCCTCTCGCATTACGAGAACCTGAACCTTCTCCTGGTGATATGACAACACTTGTAGTAATTCGTGATGAAAATCCTTATCAGACAGCACGAGATTTAGCTCTGGTATTTCATTATGTTGCCCCAGATGATGAACCTTGTAGTGCTTCTTATTTTTTACGATGTGCAAGTCCTGCAATGCGAGCTGTTTTACCACCAAGACTTATTACACTTCTTCAACAATTTCCTGATTTATTTATTTGTAAAGAAACATCACCTGGTGTTTTTTTAATGCGTAAGGCGAAAAAGAATATCCGACGTTCAGCTAATGTTTTTGATGATAATGATAATAAGGATAATGAACCATGGAAAAGAGAAGGTAATAATACTGAAAAGATTTCTTTCACATCATCATCATCATCATCTCCTTTAGGTTCTTCAACTTCTACTTCTACCGGTTTTTCGAAAGAAAAATCAGGCGACACAAACGCAGAAGAACCACTGGATTTGGAAGCAGAATTTGCAGAGAGTGATTTCTTATCACGTGAAGAAGTGATTCAAGCAGTAAAGGCATTAATACCACCAGATGGGGTGGAGGCCTCTCAATTGCTTCTTTGGGCTTCCATTGGCGTTCAACAAGCCGCCAATAGTCATTACGGTGGGGTTTTAAAACTCGTGGAAGCGAATCGTAAACACTTTCGTGTTCAAGAAACCCAAGAAACAAAGAAAATTTTCCCAGTAGAAGAG